ACAGAAGGGTTAGGACAGGTAGAGAGTAGGAAAAGATGGTAACAGATGGGAGGTTGGTGGCAGAATATTTATTTTGAACAGTTCTAGACAAATGTAAGCTTTTAAAAACTGAAAAAAAGGAAAACTGGTTTAAAAAATTCCATAAGGAGATTGTAAAGAGAAGTTGAGAAGTCTTAAAGATTACAGAAAACTGTATTTTATGTTAAATAAGTGTTAAATTGTTGCTTAATGTCGCATTTGTAACAGACTAAAACATCATTCTGAGTGAATCTGTTGGATTATTTATATACTTTATTAATTCAAATAAAAAACTATATATATATTTTTTTTTTACAATTGACAACTTAATGCAAACAGAAAATATACAATATGCTCCATATCATAAATATTTTATGTTTCTGGGACCTAGAGCTGCACAATACTGTACATCATCATAATGTCATTATGTCCAGTACTGGGATCACGAGGGAATCGTTTGGTCGCATAACAAGTATGTGGTTGGATGCTATGTTTAAGTGTCTGTATTTTACAATCTGTATATCAATATGTCTGGTCTGATAGATGAATTATATATAGTTCTAATGTTTGAAATACTACCTGCTGGTGAAGAAAGAGATGAGTAAGGAAATTATGGGTTAATCACAATTGTCAAGTTAAAACAGCAAATGGTGTATTGGTGTGAATGCAATACCATCTCCACCCAACTGGTACGCACCTCACAGAAATCAAGCGCACCCATCTGTCTCACTCAGGCCTTCAGGAGCCTATAAAGTAATTCAACACACCTGTGTTCTGAGCAATCTCTACAGACAAAGACCTCATCTTCAAGCTCCTGCAGAGACACCACTGGTAGGAAATGAACTTTAAAACATTAAACCTGCATTCAGAGGACCTAGCAGGCTTTACAAAGATGGATTTATGCATTTGGAATTAACTTTGTTTTGCTTATTTATTGATAACTCAAAAGTAAAAAACATTGACTGGAAACTTATTAATTCATTGTGTTTTGTTTATTTGTAGGTTTTCAACCTGCTTGGTTGTCTTGTCTTTGAAATTTAAGTGATTTAAAGAAGAAAAAGAAAAGAGAAATAAAAAGATGACACTGAGATGAGTTGGTCCTGAGTCTCTTTGATGGGAGCAAGCCCTTTTCAAGTTTGGGCAGAAGGCAAGGTGGTTTGTAGAGGCCAAAAACTTGACAACAATCAATATTAATATCACTATTATCAACAATGCTATTGCTGTAGTATTTTTTAGTGCATGCCCTGGAGCCCTACTTTAAAATGCCGTACCACTATCATTGAGCCAGGATGGGCTACCCTACAATATTTTGTTGACGTGTATTATTCGATTTCTACATTAATTGAAGACCCTACATATCTACCTGTCTGCAGAAGCTATGACAGCGTGCAGGTAGGGTCTGTGTCTCTCCATCAAAAGATCCTGAATCAGCTTTTCTGATTGGTTGAGGCTCCAGCATCTAGTGGCAAAAGTTTAATATACTAAACTCCAGCAACAAATGCTCACACGCCAGAACTCTCAAAATGCGCCGCTCCTCGCGCTCGTACACGCCGCTGGACGTCTTGAAGCTGTCCTCCTTAGACTTTGCATGTAAACCAGACGCCTGGCCGCCCTTAATGCCTTCGGTGTAAAATAGTATTAGGTGTCTGAATTAGCAGCATTAGCCTGATGAATAACCAAGAGCAATGTAGGTTGATGGTCAAATGCTAATATTGGGACTACTGCGCTCGGTGGATGACCATTTAATATTTTTCAATGTTGTTTGGTTTTATCAGAATATCTGATTGCATAATGACTTTTTGGACAGATTAACTCTAATATCCTTGACACGTAATGTGTTTTTTGTCTTATCTTGAGATGTATTTTTAAAGTGTTTGCATTCCAGAGTAGAATATGATGAAAATGATGAAAATATGAGTCAGAGCAAGCTGTTCTTCAGTCTAGCTTGAACCCTAGAGATTGTGTCAGAGATTCGTGTTTTATTCAGTTAGTCTTACAGTGTCAGGTAGCTTTTGTAGTTTGTTGAAGCTTGTGGGAAAGTCCCCTGTGTTGTTGTGATACTGGACAAATGTTTAACAGCAGTGTGCTCACAGCCATATGAACAAATGTGCACTTAATTGATGCAAATACTGACACTGACAACCAAGCCACTGATTGTCTCTTGAGATTAATGTTGATTTGATCCACTCAGCTGGGCCTGATCACATTAGAAAGGATGTACCCCCCAGTGGTGTGTGGGTGCGCATACACAGAACCCATCTGTCTGTGTTTTCTCAACTTAGGTGCTGTGACCCAGCTACCATCTTCAGCAGCCAGATGGATGGATGTTTATGGCTGGTTTCATTAATAATGTTGCTGTCAGTGTGTAAAATAAAATTCAGTTCAGGATCATTATTTTTTTTTTCTTTTTTAGCAATATAAAATGATAGTGTAGAGTACTAATGCATGTTATAGAAAAAAGTGGCACCGGCATGACATGAAGTCATTCTCTATATGCAATTTTAAAAATCTAATCAGTAGAGCTCCTCCCTTACAGCCAAACCCACCTGGTCTCTTATTGGATTGTGTTTACATAACTTTTACCAATCACAAGAGAGATGTTTTTTTTTCTCACGATATTTGGCAACTTCTAATACCCCTTTAGCAGATGGGAAAAAGCAACTAGCAGAAAAATGTAGTGACTTTTTTTCTTTGTGGTGTTCTTGACTTTAATACGATTCAGTTGTGCTCTTCCCTTGATCAGTTATTATATATTGTAGCACAAATCCTCAGACATTTTGTTTTGAAAGGTGAAAAAAAATTTTACAACTACACATTCTGGTTATGATCACGAATACCGTAATTTTCGGACTATAAGCCGCAGAAGATAAATTGCATGATTTGTACATATACAAGCCGCACCGGACTATAAGCCGCAGGTTTTTTGTTTAATTACCACATGGTTCGTGCACAGAGAGGATTGTCGGGAAAGAGGCAACTTTCTCCTATTTATTAACATTTCATTTCAACGCAATTTGCATATTTGCATACGTTAACTGTTACAATTTAGTGCAATAGAAGCTCCCATTTATTAACCGGTACGTTTGTTTCCCATAATGAGGGTGTCACACAAACTGTCTTGCGCTCGCAATGTCCGTCTTTCTCGCTGTCGTTCTGTCTCATACCACTCGCGGTAGAAGTCTGCTTCCGCGGCTACCGTACTTGGGTGTTGAAGCAAATATGACGTCAACATGGTGGATGGTAAAATCCATAGATTTAGGTATTACCCTAGTGGCCGTTAGCTGTAAAAGTCCATAGATAAGCCACATTGTTATATAAGCCGCAAGGTCGAAAAATTGTGTAAAAGTTGCGGCCTATATTCTGAAAACTACGGTATTTATTACTGGAGTCTGTTTCTTTTGATACCTATCATAAACTGTGTGGATTGGTCTTATTCGCTTTTATTAACTCCTTTATTTAAGATACCTTGTTTTCATTGAGAAGTTTTGTAGAGGTTCCCCTCCCTTTTCTTTCAACTAGTTTTTCTCCTTTTTGTAGTTGTCCAGGGAGCTTAGGCATTCTACTTTTGTTTTGTTAAGATAAGAATTGTCTTTAATTTTTAGTCAGAGGAGGGTATTTTTGTTTGTTTCTTCGTCTAGTAGACCCCGATGTTTAATGCTTCCTTTCTGTTTAAGTCGTGTGCAGAACCCTGAACTAATGAAAATAAACAATATTTTATGCGCCGTCAGATTTTGCTCTGGTTTTTTTGTAGTTGTTTACTGGATTCCTTTAATGTTTTTTGTATTGTGTGTTAATGGATTGTTTAATGTTAATGGTTCTAACATGAGGGTTAATTAGAGGGGTGTTTTTATTCATCCAGGGTTGTTGATCTGACACAAAGCGGTTACAGCAGGTATTGTTAAACTGCTAGTGAAGCTGTTGTTTGTGTTAAAAGCTTGTGTTGTGTTCATTGGCAGGCATGTGAAATTTGCATTGTGCCTGTATTCATTTTGCATAACATATGTAAATAAAATATCACTGATACATGTTTGCGTTTATTTTTTAACCACTGATGTTTAAGTTGTCAAATATTTTTTTTATTTTTTTACAAACTAGAAGAAGAATATAATAGTTCCCTGTATTAAAACTAAAGCAGCTGAAAACCGTCTGTCCTGTTGTTGAACCCAGTGTGACAGATTGGAGGTCAGAAATAATTGCAAATGCTGTACATATTAATAGAGACCATTCTGAAGCTTTTCTCTTGTGATTTACACACTTGAATAAAAACCCCTTTATCTAAGACAAAGTTCCCTCCAGACTTCATGCTTCTGCATCTTAGTGGGGGACAGCTATTCTCCATTTTCTTTTCACTTTTCCCTTTCCTGCTTTATTCTTCTCCAACTCCAGTCTTTTCACGCTCAATTTAAATTAAGCTTGCTATATTTGAAATACAAAACAATGCATTGAATCGAGGCTTTCCATGCCTCTCTCATTCTAAGAGACAGCTGGTCATATAGTCGTATTGAAATTAGCAAGTCTTTGTGAGCGTTTGACTCTATTTTTTTCCTGTATTAAGCCTTATCTGTGAAATCAAATATATGAATTAAGTGAGTTTTTTTTATTTTTTTATTAGCATGTTACCATTTGTTTTCATCGACATTTGCAACAGAGCTTAGTTTAATTCTTCCCGTTTCGTTAGAAACTATTAATATGCTAAAGATGAAAGTGTTTTTTTCCGCTTGGCATTATATTTTTCACATATTTATACTCTCTAAATATGCTTTGTTTTTTTATGCCTGGTATTTTAAAACCTCTGCTTCATAATGAAGCAGAAGCAAATTCAGTTAAGCACTAAGCGGTCATATATAAGAGACGCCATCTTTACAGGCTACAGCCTCCAAAAGTTTGTATTTATTTAGTTTATTTTGTGGGGAACAAAAAGAGTTCCTTTGTAGTGATGGGCTTTCTCTTCTTTTTTTTTGTGTGTGTTCATGTTGGTCCAGGTGTCTGAATGCATGTACTTACTGCAAGACGAAACATGCTCGAGGAGACTTGGCCAGTTATCCCATAGAGGAACTGGTGGAAAGAGCCAGGCAGTCCTTTCAGGGTGAGTATCCTGCTTTTCCTGTGAATATTTCTTATAATGATATTACGTTTTATTATGGGGAATAAAAAAAAATCAATAAAAGAGAGATCGTAATGAGAAATTACCCAAAATCATATATATTGACCCAACTTGTTGAATAAATGAACATGCCTCTGTATCCGTGTTCTTGGACAGAGGCCTGTGAGGTAGTTTAATTTATTATTCAGTGGGAGCCCATGAGTGTTGCTCTTTGTTTGCTGTGCAGTAGCAGCGTATTTGTGTGTCCTACCAGGAGGCTCTCGGTTTTAGTAACACATGTTGATGTTTTTATTCTTGGGGAGAGGCTCCTGCCAGTTGGCCCTAGTTTTATGCCAGAAGAACAGCTGTTGTGCCCTGGCATCTGTTTCTTAAGAGCACACTCCCAGAATCCCAAGCTGCACAGCGGGCTACTCTTCCATCAGAGCCGCAGGCGGGTCAAACAAGGGCAAGTTTACACACTGATAGCGCAGGAGTCCTGCACTCTTACCTAGGAGTGGTGTTGTCATCAGTTTTAGGAATTAATTGGCATGTATTATTGTCATATTGGGATGCATCTCATCACCTTCATTTGAAAGAATTAAAATAACAACAGAAATAACATCATGGGATTGTAACATGGTTAATTAGGTTAGTTTTATTCAAGCCCAAAATTTAATAGAGAATGAGAATTTAATCTCTATTTCTTGAGGTTTCACAATTACAAAATAAGATCAGATTTCTTTCCAAAATATATTAAATTGTTCATGTTCTGAAAAACGCTTTTGGTGCAACTTGGTTACATCGTCATTGTTGTATCATAAAGATATTTACAGCAGAAGAGCTTCAATATATATATATTTTTTTTTACAGTAAAGAGATGTGGAAAGGTTTTCTTCTTTTACAAACGCTTTAGATATTTGGTTATTTATTTGACTGCCGCACATGAATGTGTTGCACTTGTAACCCCTATGTGAGTCCAGCCCAATGTTTTGTGGAAAAAATTTAATATTTAACCTTTATGCCACATTTATGTCTTTATAAAATGGTTTATGCAGCTTGGCTTATTTTTATACATCTTTTAAAGTGTTAATTACAGCATTATTTCAATCTTATTTACGAAAGTATTGGATGTGTTGGTAAACACCCTAAGGCTATTTGGACAGCCTGCTAAAAACAGCCTTAAATCTACACCAGATGACAACAAAATGTTGAGATCTGAATCCGGTGCTTTTTGCCAGTGGTCATTCTCAGTGTAGATTTTCCCTAATTTGCTGATGCACAAAAAAATCCACTAATTTAATCTGCTTTTCTAATCTAAGTTGTGAATTTTTATAATAAGTATATTATCATAATAAATGTGCTTTATAGCTTAGTTTAAGGAAGTTTTCCCGGTTTAAAGTGGAAGGTATATTTATCTCTGGTATGTTAAATAAAATGGGACATTTTGTTTCTGCATGGCATGTACATTTGTTAGAGCCATTACTTAATTTAACTTTTGTTTTGAGGAGGCTCCTATTATATAGGAGGAATCCAAACTAAAACGAAGACGCCCTTGTGAAGGACAGCTCTTAGTAAATCCCTCCCAGAACTCTCCCAAACAGCTGCATCCATGCCACTGCCACAGGGTGGGCATTGAAGGGCAAACACACCAGCTGCCCAGACCTTCATCTGTGTCTGTGTAGTTTTAACATATAGGTGATTTTTTATTTATTTTTTTTATTTTTTTGGAGAAAATAAAACACCCCGATCACCGATTGGGAGACGAGAGTTGGTAAACAGTCACAGGTTTCCTAGTGGAGTTTTTTTTTCTTCTTTTAATTCAACAGAAAATGGAATAACAAGATTTGATTATTTGTTCATTGAATATCATAACTCTGTGGCCAGAATTACCCATAATGTCACAGATCTTTTCTGTAACCATAACAGTCAAGATTGGAGCTGCAATGGAGCGATGTTTTTTTAATTATGTCCTGCATAACAAGGACATATCTTTACAATATCAACAACTGGCTGCTGAAAGAGCTTTTCTTTAACAATTAATTTTTTTTGTCTTACATCCATAGTTGTCTAATTGGTTGTAACCTCTTCCAGCTGACTGTTATTCCTGCCTTTGAAATCAGGCTTTACCAGCTCCTTTCTAGACTGATATGCTGTAACTCAGTCTTTCTGGTGAGTCTAGGTAAAGCAGTCTGACGAGATGTCAGCTATTTCTATGCGTGATGACATTGTAGCCCAAGACTAAAGCTTCCCTTAAGGGAATAAAGTGTACAAATTAACACTGAACCTTTATTTTTTTTATTTCTGTTTTACAAACTCTCTAGTCATCAAGTTGCCCGGTGCCCCTCTCCAAAACATACACACGGCTTTCCTTATGCTGCATTTTTCAAACTTGTTTTACTTAAAATTGCCATTCTGCTCAACTTTCTTCACTCTTATCTGCTCATCATATTTTGGGGGCTGCTTGGTCTGAGTGTCTAATTATCTATAGGGCTCATTAATAAAATGATATTGAATCATGAAATGCTTTAAGCTACAGCAGAGTTATACATTTGCTGTGACAATATGTAACTCCAATGCCTGTAATCAGCCCCCTTCTGGTCAGAGCTCCATTATATATCAAAGTTATCTTAGTTTTTCTTCTTTATTGTTTGTCTAATACATATTTTGATGTCGGTTGTTTTTTATTCTCCTGAAAGAACAGCCTAATTGTGCCCATTCTGAATCCTTTGTATCGATGATGTAGGGCTGTGCCAAAATATATCTTCCCTCCCTATTGTTTTGCTTTTGGTCATCACATTTCATATCAGTCAGACCGCAGCCTTTAGCTTACACATTCCTATGTTTTTTTTTTTTTTGTTTTTCAGTTCCCCCTAACTACATCGTAGTCGAGATAATTTTATGAGAAATTATATCAAACAGTACAATCCATATCCTATTCTCCATTTATTGTAATGATCATTAAATCCATAAACCAACACTGCAAAATGTATTTGATTTGGTTGGTCATGATCATGTTATGCTCTGGTTGTTATAGTAACACACCTTTTCTGTTATGCCTTTGCGGTCCAAATACTGCCCTTCATTGTTTTGGTATGTTTTGTCCTTACACTGATTTATTATGTGACATTTATCCTTAGATCTAAAATATGTTAAAGAGAGATATTGAGGGAAAGCCATAAAATATGACTGCTGTCAGAGGTTGAATTTTATAGTTACACAATGAAGGACCTTTGGGAGCTCACAGAGTCAAATAAAAGACAATGAGAAGTGAGACCAAGAGGAGTGTGAGATTTTAGTGTTAGGGCGTAGTGATCAGAGGTCATTGATTGGTTCTTTATCACCAACTGGTACCAGAACGATCATCTTTAATTCAAATAGTTTTCAAAGAATAGGAGCAAGCATCTACAGTTTGGTGACCGTTACTTCCCAAAGGAAAGCACTGAAATTATTTTGTTTTGTTTTCTTAAACCTTATATAATTTCGATAAACTGATATGACCAATCTAAAAGCAGTTTTACTAAAAACAACACAAGTCTAACAGTATACAGCTTGTTCACTGAAGAGCATTTATATAATAATAAAGAAATGGTCTAAAAAGAAATTTAAAAAGAAGTTCATTTTGATCGGATTTTATTCACATCAAATCATATAAATTTCTGTCCAATCCAGGAACAATGCATTAAGAAAAGGGTGATTTTAAGATTTTATAATTTATGTTGTTTTTAATTTGTGACTTGGTTCTAGAAAGCTTTCAGTGGACTGTTCCTACTGATTGGCATTATTTATAAGTAGGTTTAATCAAAACAGATTTTCTTTATTCAAAAATATTCAGATTTGTACTCTACTTGTTCATCTGATGTATATATTTTCTGTTGGATTTGATTTCTGTTTTTATAAACAGATGAAATCATTTGTCACCTTTCCAAATGAAAGGCAAAGTATTTTCTCTATCAAATGTTTTTGTTAGGTTTTGAATTACATTATAGCAGTGTAGCAATTCCCCTATTCTCTCTGTCTCACTCTATTAGCCACCTTTTTCTTATCTCAAATAAATTGAGTCTTACAAAACCACACTGCAATTTGATTTACTGTTTGATCCATTTTGAATAAAAATAAACTGAAAGTATGAATTGCTAATTTTGAGTGGCCAACCTGCCAGTTTTAGAGCTATTTGATTGGCTTATCTCAGGGAACTTTGAAAGGATTTATGGGATTTATTCAAATGCTATTTGAGGTATATGGCTCTCATTTCATCTGGAAAAAGGTGGGAGAATGTGAGTGCACAGCTTTTAAAGTAATCTGAATTATTCAAATGTATGAATGTATAATTTTTAACATCAGAGGGGTTTGTTAATGCATGCAGGTAATGGAGGCTGTGAATGTCATGGCAAATGACAAGCTTGTGGGTGTGTATGTCTGTTTGGGAGAGGAGTGGAGAGGTTTATATGTGGAGTTATGTGTGACATGTTGAGAAGAGGAGAGTGGGCTGGCCTGTGTGTCAGGAGGAAAGGGTGCATCTTAGGGTGCATCTTAAGGTGCGTATTTGTCAAAGAAATGAAGGTGTTAAGTCTGGTGTTTGATAGTTTTTTGAAAGTGGGAGTATCCTCCTTAAGTTCTTGAATAAATGATAGAAATCCTCTTACTTCGGGATGTTTTTCTAGACAAAGTATCCTAGTAAACATTCACTCTTCATTTGTCTCTTCATAGTGTTTTAAGTTTTTTCACTACCAGCTTTTTAAATGGTATAATGGTCTGTTTTTCCCTTCCTTGATATCGTGCATTGTGACCAAAGAGCTTTAGACTTTTCATCCAGACCTTGGTTTGATTTTGCAGCATCATCTCAAGCAGACGGTTGGAGCCGATCCCAGCAGACTTTGAAAAGGAAAAAAAACAGCCTGGTCAGGTTCATGTACCTGTGGCCGTTTATGGCCTTAAAATTATTTCAGAACAGTAGAGCAAAGATGTGTGAAAGATTGTGAAAGGTAAATCCAAAAGTATATAGC